TGAGCCCGAGGGAGCTCCCAAATGGTCATCCTCAGCCTTGATTTTCGACTGGTATCAGTTGTGGATGTTCGACTAGGTCATAGCTGGATACTCGATCAAATTCTATTTCAACTATTTCAAAGCCATCGAGATTCATTCGTTCAGACCTTGAGTAAAAGCCTGCACTGCCCCGTCATCGAAGACTGGCAGTAGCTCTATCCGTTCCATTTGAAAGCGAGACACGAATTCCCACAGCATCTCGTTCTCCCTTTGCTTAATTTTGAAAACGTCGGACTTTCTCGTCGCTACTTTGATGGCACCGGCATGTGCCTTTACAAAGGAGTCTTCCATCATGGAGAATGAATCTATGGAGTTTGGAGCCAAGTTGTGATACCACATCATGACCCCCTTGAGAGTGTTTCCCCCAACTTTTTCAGCAATACGAACTCGATCTCATCGTTTTTTATATCGTTGCTTTTTACCGCGCAAGTGTAAGCAGTAACGTGTTCATTAGGGTCTGAGGTCCCGTTTTGCTTTGGGAGTTCTGGCTTTCTAAACTTCTTTGAAATGGGTTTCGGGGCCGCTTCTTCGGGGAACGGCCTTTGTATGAACTTTTTCGAATCCACACCCTTCAGGACTGAGGGTGCGCTCGGAATCTGGTCGACCCTGGAGTTGTAGGTCTCGACCTTCTTATCGTTGGCTGCTATCATTTTCTCGACCGATTCAATCATTTTGGTGAGGTCTTCGAGCATTTTCATGATGGCAGGGTCAGCTATCGATCTGTTGTTGCTCGATATCTCAAGTATCTGTTTGGTTGTGGGAGCAGTCCTCGGTGCTACTGTGCTGGGAGTCTTCGGGTGGCTTTGTAGCTGAGCGATAGCCAACTTTGTGTCTGCAACATTTCCAAAATAACATTAAGGCTAATTCCCGTTCTTCTCGAGCTGGGGTTTTTTGGGCTTCCTGTTGGTCACCATGTTGTATGCTCATGTCGGTGTGTGAGGTTTCGTTGATTACAGTGTGTCTTCCAAACCCACGTCCGCTGGAATCGGTCCAGGCATGTTGTCGGGGTTCTGTGGTGGCACGCCAATAATTGGAACAGCCACACCGTTCTCCATAGTCTTCAAGGTTGTCGTTCTCAACTCTGATCAGTGAGCCAGACATTTTGACCTGAAATCGAAGATCTTGGACAAGAAAAAGTGTGAAGGTTAACTTGCATTGTGTGACAAAAAACAGCAAGAAAATAATCTTTATTATTTTTAGCCCCACGGTGAGCGCCAAATTATTTACTGTGAAAATGGTAATAACAATTAAATTTGTTGATGGGACTCTAAAAATACATGATCTATTTTTATGCTAGTTGTTAAGAAGTTGACACTAGATATGTGAAGATAAAATATGAAATACGAGCTAAAATAGAGTTATAATCAAACCAAGGGGTTAGTTGTCCGGGCCTCGGACTAACCGATGATTGGCCTTGAGGTCGATGCCTGGGCTGGGGTTCGAGCTATCGGGGATAATCAGGAAGGGGTTAACAGTGTTGTAGACTGGAGAATAGGGGGTCATGGTGAAGTAGTGTTTGGGGAATAAGTAGTGTTTCCATGATGTGGGCTGAGTGGTAAAAGTGACTCCGTCACGAGGAGGGGTGTAAATTGTGTTAGTGGTAATGGGTAGGTTTTGCGGCATTCAAACGTATTGTTGTACACAGGGAGTGCGTATAGGATGATTTGGTAGGTTTGCAAGGATTACTGGAGGTATGATTTGAGTGGTGGGGACCGAAGTCAGGGTGTTGTTACCCTGGTGAGAGGTAGAAGGAAAGTGGTCGGGGATTGAATCTAGAGAGGGAAAACGAGGTAGTTATGGAAACGTTGTCATAGCTAGATGTGCTAGTTCCCTGATGTGTTGTACTTTCTCCCTAAAAGATTCCATCTACTGGGCGATCCTAGCCACATGTTCATCATTCCTTGTATCGTCCTTCTCTCTTGATCGCCCCGAGCTATCGGCTATGACCAGAGTAGGTTCGGTCAGGTTTTCTAAAAGCAGACATCTTCTTCTTTGATCTTAGATTGTACGGTGGTTATCCCGGCTTTGGGTAGACACAAAACAACTTTTCTTTTGGGTGTATTAATAAACTAAGAAATGAAAGAAAATGAAAAAGAAACAAGAGTCAATTTCTTCATTTATACGAGTGAAAGGTCTCACAAAGAAATTAGTTCACGTATTTAGGCAAGCACATTTTCCTAGAATTCGTGGGACTTATCATTGTCGGAGGTAGGCCTAAATCGTGAATTATTTGACAAACAAACTGTTTTGACACATTCAAATCCGAAGCAAATTTTGTTTTCATTGATAGTGTTTGGATTTAAGATAAGTGGGAGCAGAGGCTACATCGCTGTTTCTAGCATTCATAAAACTGCATGGGCTTGAACAACTTGCCCTTGGGGAAAATAAGATAAATAGGCATAAAGATACAAAGTGGGAAAGAAGGGGACATTAACCAACTTCTAGTAACCATCCCTAGGATCATTCCCTATCTCCTCTTCCTCTTCCGGCTCTTCCTCTAGATCTTCTTCAAATTCCTCTCCATAATCATTGAACTTAGATTCTTCCTCTGGATCTTCCTCCAGCTATATCTAGGATTCTATGTAGATGCACTCCACTACTTGGTCATCATATTCAGTCGGTTGCAACATGTGATCGATGGATCCCGAGACCACTTGACGGTGCATGGAAGTAGTCCAAGGCAATGTGGCAGGATCTCATGGTAAATTTGCGAAGCAGTCATTGCATCCCACTTGATGGGGCTAGCTTGTCTTCCTTGTTGATCCAAACATAATACTCCGAAGTGCACCACGAGTTTTGACCCATGGTATTGTGACCAAATCGTTCCACTCTTCTTGGAGCCTTTTTATCCTCGGTATTGGAATTTGCCAGTTGTACTCATCCTTATATAGTGTTGTCCTCATCCATAGAGACACATCCTGGATCAACCCAAGCTGTATGAGAACAGAGTATGGCTGGATGCCCTTAAGTCCTATCAGCTCAATGAAGTATTTATGAGGAGTCCTTAGGATTGCCCTCCCACCTAACCATGACAGCTTCCAATTGACCCATTCTCCACTTAGATTAGTCAGCATTTCTCTCCACTCTTCTTGTCCATGTGGGGAGACCTGATGTCTCATCCTCTTGTTGTGGTAGCGGATCATGTTGATGACTCCCAAAAAGTAGTAAATTGTGGCCTCTTGCTTGGAGAAATGCTCTGTGGCACATATTCGAAATAGCTGGTTACATCCTTTAATGAAATCATACCCTCATACACACGCAGATAAAGCCCTATGAATCTCAGGTAACATCATCGGTTTTAGAGTAGCTTGAAGGTTTCCATGGAATATCGCCAGAACCACGTATAACAAGTTGATATTGATTCAACCTCTTCTTTATGGGAAAACCAACAATCCTAAACAGTGCCAATTAGAAAGTTATGGGCCGGAGACTCTCCAACATTGCTTGATCGCACTGACATTCTCCCAAATACCATTCATAGCTTTCACGATGTCCGAATCTTTCGAACAGTTTATCTAGTCTCACCCATCCGTCCTCGATGATTCTCAAACCTCGACTGTTTCCCTAACCCATAGCATCAAGAAACATATAACCATGCATGGTGACTAGCAATATCGGTTTCCTTCCTATAAATGGCAGCTCCGTGAAACTAGTAACTTCTTCCTATGTTGGCACTAACTCACAATCAGCAAAATTGAAGACCACTTTGGCCGGGTCCCAGAACTCTATCAACAGGCGAGTAAGCACATGGTCAGCTCGAATGTTTAGAACGGTGGTCAGCGCCCCTAGGTGTGTCCGTATTTCATCTCCGTGCTATCGAAAAATATTCTTCCACCACTGCTTAATCTTGTGTAGTGTTCCCATCACCATATTGATCTTGGGGATGTTTTGGTTGATTTCCATTTCTAAAGTGGGTAAAGAAAGGCTTGATAAGTGTTTGCTTCGGATCTTTCGGTGTCTTATCAGATTTGTTCATTTTTCCACAAAAATCATGTCATTGGGTGCATGACCCGTTGGCATTACGGTGGCTTTCCTAATTGTGTGTCGATGCTAAGGACCAACTCACCTAAGGTTATGCAATATGACCTATGTTTGCTAGAGTAGAGTGTGTCCTACTTTTCAATTGTAGGGAACACTGCGAGAAGTTATGTCAGTTGACCTAACAAAGTCATTCTCTGAAACTAAAGAGTTTTGAAAAGAAGGTTCGGAAGGGTGTAAAAGACAACCCTCGCGTGTCATTGTGTGTGATAGTGTACGGCCAAGGCTCGATAGTAAGACATGTGATCACAGTGTATATAGAGCGGTAAGGGTGGAATAATACCAGTCATGATAATAAGCAGGCATAATGAGCAAGTAAAGCCGGTAAGCACGTAATTTCAAATTAATTACAGTTAGAGCAATATACAAACAAATCTATGTTCCAAGCTCAGTCTAAGTCTGCTAAGGTTAGAACCTAAGTGTGAAATCTCCAACAGAGTCGTCATGTTGTTGTACCCTATTTTGCACTAGTCAAAAAAAGATTTAACTTGTGGTTTCTCGATTGTTAATGAAAGGGGAAGGTGTTTGACACCCCTTAAAATTTACCTAAGGTAGCTCCATAGAACTTAGACTATATTTAAAGGATTAGTTGGTTGTATCATGCTTAAAACTAGTACTAAGGGAGTACGGCTTACTATATATTAGAACATGATATTTACAAAAAGGATATGTATTTTAAAAGGATTTGAGTTTGTAAAGGAGTCTTAGAAAATATTGTTAGTATATATAATTAAAAGAGTTTAAAATATGTGCATGATGTTTGTATTTGTAGGTTTTTGTTTAGTCTATTCTTTTTATAGCTTTGTGCTGGTCTAGTGGCCGCGCCGAGCTATAATATAGTGAGGGCATATCCTCGGGGGGAGCGGAGGGTAGAGGGTAAGGGTGGTAGGGGATAAGGCACCTTCTAGGTTGAGAGCGGGGTCATGGAACATGGGACTCTAACAGGGAAGTCTATAGATTTAGCAAATATTCTCCATAAGAGAAAGATTAACATAGCTTTTGTCCAGGAGAATAGATGGGTGGGGAACAGGGCTCGGGAGGATGATGGATTTAAGTTATGGTATTCAGGGAGGGTGAGAGGGAAGAATATGGTAGGCATTTTAGTTGTAAGGATCTAAATGAGCTAGTGGTTGAGGTTATGAGGAAGAATGACAGGTTGATGGCTATTAAGATAGTCGTGGGAGGGTATACTTTGAATGTAATTAGTGCTTACGCGCCTTAGGTAGGTTTGGACAAAGAGGTTAAAAGACACTTTTAGGAAGATTTGGATGGGTTGATGCAGGGTATACTGTCCATCAAGAAGCTTATTATAAGGGATGATTTTAACGGCCACATTGGGAGGTTGCCTGGGGGATATGACGGTGTGCATAGTTGCTTCGGTTTTGAAGATAGAAACGGAGGAGGTACTTCGCTGTTGGAGTACGCTAAATATTTTGAGCTGGTGATCGCTAACTCGTGTTACCCGAAGAAGGCGGAGCACCTGATAACGTTTCGGAGTATGGTTGCCAAGACCCAGATTGATTATCTACTTCTCCGAAAATGTGATAGAGGTCTATGCACGAATTGCAAGGTCATCTCAAGTGAGAATCTTACGACCCGACATATGTTTTTGATTATGGAATTAGAGGTCAGGTGGACGATTAAGAAGAGGCATATGTCTGGCACACCTAGGGTTAGGTGGGGTGCATTGACTAAGGACAAGGCCTAGGAGTTGGAGGAGACGTTACTGGCTATGAGGGCATGGAGGAGTAGCAGGGACGCGAGTTATATGTGGTCTATGACAGCAGATTATATTAGAGAGGTGGTGAGATAGGTGTTAGGGGTCTCGAAGGGTTTTTCTGGTGGCTATAAAGGGGACTGGTAGTGGAACTAAGAGGCTCAAGGGAAAGTTGAAGCCAAGAAAGCGGCATATTTGAATCTAGTAGAGAGTATAGACGAGGGGAAGAAAAGTGCTAACAGGGAGGGGTATAAGAAGGCTAGAAAGGAAGAGAAGTTGCCAGTTACCACGGCTAAGACCGCAACGTTTAGTCGTTTATACGATAAAATTGGGGATAAAGGTTGGGACAAAAAGTTGTACAGGCTGGCGAAGGTGAGGGAGCAGAAAGACCGGGATCTAGACTAAGTGAGGTGCATAAACGACGAGGACAGTAAAGTTTTATTAGAGGGGGCACAAATTAGGTAGAGATGGAAGTCTTACTTCCATAAACTCTTGAATGAAGAGGGAGATGGGAGCATTGTGTTGGGGGAATTGGAGTACATGAAGCGACAGCGAAATTTTGGATATTGTAGACATATACGAGTAGGGGAGGTTTTAGGGGCTATGCGTAGGATGAGTAGGGGTAGAGCGACTGGGCCGGATAAGATCCCGGTGGAATTCTAGAATAGCATGGGAAGGAGGGCTTAGAATGGCTTGCCAGTTTATTTAACGTCATTCTTAGGATGAAGAAGATGCCCGTAGAGTGGAGGCAGAGTATGATGATCCCGTTGTACAAGAACAAAAGGGATGTCTAAAACTGCAACAACTATAAATAGGGGTATCAAGTTGTTAAGCCACTCGATAAAAGTGTGGGAGAGGGTGATTGAAGGGAGGTTAAGGAGGTGTGTGTCCATTTCTGAGAACTAGTTTGGTTTTATGCATGGGCGATCGAGTACTGAGGCCATTCACATTATGAGGAGATTGGTGGAGGAGTATAGGGCAGTAAAGAAAGATTTGTATATGGTGTTCATTGACCTGGAGAAAGCATATGACAAACTCCCGAGAGAGGTTCTATGGAGATGTTAGGAGGCTAGACGAGTACTTGTAGCATATATTTGAGTGATTAAGAACATGTATGACACATGTTAGGTTAGCAGGAGGAGACTCTAACTACTTTCTTGTTGAGATGGGGTTACATCAGGGATCAGCACTTAGCCCGACTATGTTGTATGGGGTAGGGTGTTGGCCAGTCAAAAACTCTCATGTCCAGCAGATGAAAGTAGCGTAAATAGGATGTTGTGATGGATGTGTGGGCATACTAAGTTGGATAGAATTAGGAATGAAGTTATTTGAGACAAGGTAGGAGTGGCCCCTATGGAGGCAAAGATGCATGAGGCGAGCTTGAGATGGTTTGGGCATGTTAGGAGGAGAAGCACAAATGGCTCAGTCAAGAGATGTGAGAGGTTGGCCTAGGGAGGTGAGAGGAGGGGTAGAGGTAGGCCAAAGAAGTCTTGGGGAAAGGTGATCAGGCGAGACATGACACAACTTGAGCTAACCGAGGACATGACCCTAAATAGAAGGGTGTGGATGTTGAAGATTAGGGTAGAAGGTTAGTAGGTAGTCGTGTATTTTCCTTTGTCTTCTCTAATTTGATAGTATTAGTACAAGTACGGTACCCTTTTTTCCTTACTATACTGTATTCGCATGTCTTGTTCTGTTATTACTTGTCATCGGTAATTCCACAGTTTGCTAGGAGTACTTCATTCATATTCTCATTTGCTGCCTTGGATTTAGTTTTATAAATATATTATCTTGCTAATACTTGGTATCAGTACCTCTTTCATATTCTCTGTTACTATCTTCGATTTAGTTTTCTAATTATTTGTCTTGCTATTACTTACTATTAGGGCTTCTTTCACATTCTTTAGCTGAGGGTCAATCAGAAATAGTCTCTCTGCCCTTCCACGGTAGGAGTAAGGCTACGTACATTTTACCCTCCCTAAACCTCACTTGTGGGATTACACTGTGTGGTTATTGTTGTTGAATGATGTTTGTATTTATGAAACATATGGAAAATGGCTAAGTTATAAAACGCTTTGTGTTTAAAGGATGTGGCTATTTGTGTAACTCTAATGAAATAAGGGTGTTATAAGAAAATGATTCCAAGATGTACCTTAGCTTTCAAATCTCATTTTTTGAAGAAAACATTTAAGAACCCTTTGCTACTGGCAGCACTTTGCTTTAGAAAGATTCGCTCTTTTTAGAAGGCCGATTTTGGATTCAAAATCTGGCTTTTGAAATGAGGGACTGCCATCCTTGCTAAGCTATTTTTTGGCTTCAAAGTCTTTATAAAATATTAGTGAAACATAAGAGATTAATAGCGTGAATAGCATATGAAAACTAATTATTATTAAGCCTAATATTTTTTTTAATCCTATGTTATTTTAGGGCTTGCCTGATTTGCTTACATGATTCAAGAGATAAAGTAATGCATTTAATCCAATATGATAATTGTTGCATACATGGGAGAGATAAGAACAACAAAAACGCAGCAAAGGAAATGAAACAGTAAAGCTATAAAGTAGCAAAGCACTAAATAGTAGAGGAGTAAAGGGAGAGGATGGACTCTGGTGTTGGGCCCAACAAATAGTAGAAAATGATAACGGCTGACTTCAAACTTCCTAGAATGCGTCGGGGCAGGATTTGGGCCTGAGTTTCTTTGGGAAACTTAGAAGGCCCAAATATAATGCATGTTCGAAAAAAAAAAAGGTAATTAGATATGCTACTTTATTCATGTAATTATACATGAAACACACTATTAAGGATCTAAAAAAATTATAACAATCAATGATAATTCAAACTATAGGGATTGCATTATTGTAGGGGTCACATGCGGCAAAGCATTTTACATTAAAACCTTTCGTTGTCATTAAACACTAAACTTTAAGGAAGTATAGGTCAATAGATTTTAGGCTAAGGATAGAGCTTCTTTCATGGCCAAAGCTCTTCTTGGACCTTGACAATTCAAAGTTTCCAAGGGTCTCGAGGCCCATGGCAATGATTGTGCCAAGGAGAGTAGCCCATCCAATGACTAAACTCTACTCTCAAATACCCCTAACTACTCACATTTACTCTTCCTTATAGGTTTAAGTGCCAATGAAGCACTTCAATGTGAATTTCAATGTAACTGTGACACCATGCTACATAAGTATGTGTACACTTTTATAACAGTTAATACAAAATAATTATAGATCATAAAAAAACCAATCATCTTGACGTAATCACAATCTAACAAAGTATTATGATGTAATATAAATGATATGTTTGACATGCTTCAAAGAATTAGTTTCACACATAGAGACAAAGGCATCATCAGGTCATTGTTAGGATCTCAAACACTTGTATCCTACATAAGAATTAAGTGAGTGCATGACTTAAACATATGAAGTTTTGGGCATGGACACATTCTTTTAACAACTTAAGTCTCAATTTCTAACATATATGTATGAGTTAACAGCTCCAATCTAAACATCTAGATACTATTAACAGTGGTGTAAGTTTACCACATCAATTGAGTTCCTAAGAAAAAGCACTGACAGAGGTATCCTTATCAAACCATCATCATTCCGAAATAGTGTTAATTGAATTGTAGATTACCAACTACAGTCATAACCTCTAAAAGATATTAACAAGGTCACAGACTCATATCTTCAATCAGAACTTCCAAGAAGGTTAAGAAAATTGCAGATTAACATGCCTCAATTAGAACATCTCAAGCACATCAACAAAAATACAAACTAAGGACCATAATTAGGATTCCTAAAGGATATTAACAGGGTTACAGATTCATAACAACATATTAAACCCCCAACATAATCTTAAGCTAACAGTCATGCTTACCCTAAGTTTCAGAATATGACTATTCCATTCTAAGAAATTTGAACTTTATACTATCCATGTGGAAAGAAAAGCATGATGTTATACTCAAATAATAGTAATGGCAGGTTTATTCAAATCTCATAAACTAGGTCTAGTACATTCATATAGGCTCAGTGAAGTTTTGAAGACAATATATACATATCTACATGGTTATGGAAGGCAGGAAAAAAGTAATGAAGAATCAAATAGATGCAGGGTCACATGTACATGAGATATATAACATAGAATCATATTGTTTCAAAAGTGTTATCATCATTAGGCTAACAGTATCACTGCATGGATCTCAGAAAAAGGGTAGGGATATTATCATATTGGGGAAATCTGCCACGTAGGTCACGTATAGGATTTCACGCATAGTGGAGCTTGGTTTTAGCATCTTAGCTTGACAAATAGAATATCAGAACTTACACAAACACTCATAACTTAGGTCAAGCATGTGATGCACATCAAAATGCACACAAAGATGATGCAAAAAGTGCAATATGCTCAAATCAGGTTTATACAACCATTAGCTCATTAGAGAATCAATGACATTCTAGAGAATTCACGAGATTAACATAAGCATGCTAGAGGAGAGGATAAACTAACATCTTAAAGCCCAAATGACAGCCTCACATTATTACTAAAACAGATTCATACTTGGTTAAGTCTAGTTTATTAGGTGAGCTACAGTACTTAACAGAACATCAGGGAAATCCAACAGAAACCAAACATCAAGATATTTTTAGAGTCACTAAGTTGTTTTTAACACTTAACAATAGAGATAGGTCATCACATGTTCATGGGAATTGGTACAGGACTCTAATTTAAATGACCCAAGGAAATTCATGATCTCAAAACCTATTTAACAACCATATATCATTAATATGCACAAAGAACTATTAACCATGAATACATTATTAACGACATCATTTAGTAAAAAAAAATAATTCACACTTAGTAATTTAAACAAACAAAGAAGGATGGTTGAGATTTTACTTACCTCCTCAAGGGCAGCAAACCAAACGAGTACTCAAGTTAGCGGCTTAGGAAAGCAAAAGCTCAGCTTTTAACTAGTGACAAACTCAGAACCAAAAGAAAAAAAAAAGAAGCAGAGGTTGAGTAAAAACTCAAAATTTCAAACGATAGATACCTAAGCAACACTTTAGTGTATCTTAATTTCTTCAAAAATGTTAGGTGTAGCTGGAGTTTATTCTGTGTGTTTGGTGAAAATATTAAAAGCCCCTATTTATAATGGTTGTTGAAGCCCTAGTGTTCGCAGATTTAAATTGATAGTGGAAGATGATGGAGGATGAATGATGATAGCAAAGGAGGTAAAATCAAAAAGAGCAGAGGGAGAATCGTTTTAAGATTTTTACTGAGTAAAGACTGGTCGTTTAAAGGAAAAGGACCATCGGGTAAAGGCCCCAATGTCCAGAGGTTGTTATGCTTGACCTCTGGACCAAGAATAATGATGATAACGCTAAAGATATAGCCATGCATGCCAT